CCCCCCCCCAAATCCCACCACCCCCCCTACCTGATGAAAAATGAACGGTCGCTAAAGCCTCTGCACAGCCTCTCTATAGGCCTTTCAGTACCCTTTCCACATCTTTCAGGAAAAGTGCCACTGGCGCAACAGGTCATTTTTTCTTCGATTCTCAAGTGACACAGTTGGCATTAGTACCATGGTTCTTCAGGTAGCCTTGTATTCGCAGTTGGGATTGACAGGGTTGAATTTAATTTCATTGACAACAGTTCGATGTTGCCGTGCGTCTGTACAGCAATATATCACAAATGACGTCAGAGTGTTATAAGAACAAACAAGAGGCACAAGAGCCGATAGCCGACTGTGTTACTGATGTTCTTACCACATTTTGGCGCCTTCTGTGATCTATTACTAAACAAACGCGCGGCAACCTGGAATCTATCTGTTTCGTATAATAAAGAAACAACAACAAAAAAAGTTAACGTCATCTATAGGTCTTTCCTCTAATAGATCATAGGTAGGAACCAATCAAAAAGCCAGAATAATTTAACTTCTTATATTAGTGAAAAATTAGAAGAGTGTAATTGTTAGCTTTTAATGATATTTTTATCATAACCTATGGCAAGGTAGCACCTTCGTAGGGTTTTCCTTCAATTGGTTGTGTGGCTAGCGTTCCCGTACGTACGAGTAAAGACGTTCTCGCCTGCTGTTTCTGCGAAATTTGGGCGAGAACAAAAAATCGACGAAGAGGGGAGGTTGGGCGGCCGAGAAAAGCAAAGGGCGTGTTCCGTAAGTGAGATCGCATAAGGACTGTCGTTCGCATGGTAACCTTGTCATGCGCAACAAAGAAATTTTGAACAAATATACGTAAAACATTCGGTATTTATTTTGAGCCATTCTTCCACTGTAAGTCAAGTAATTCTTAATTTTGCTATCTCTTTGCAGTCACAATTTTCAACTCTATCATTCAATTTAAAATCTGTACAAATACAAAACTGAAACGGACTTCCTAGCTGATTTATTTTGAACTTTTTTCGCACACCCAGTGTTCTTGTTTCAATTTAAACTTATTCACGTCGTGTTCAAATAGTATGAACATAAATATATATATACTTTTTTTAAATTTCTAGATTAGCTTTGTATAAGCCATCACTTCCAAAACAGCATTTCAAAACACAGCAACCGAACGTTTTCACGGGTATCCTATTTAGTTCCTTTTACATTAATTTAATATTTAAATATTTTGATCAATTTAAGGATTCGGAACGGTTAAGGTTCCTACTATAGTGTCACGGACAACACTCCAGACGGTGAAACAACATTGTAGCCAAGCCAGTCACTGCTGTATTGCGTGACCCTTTTGGCCATCGAGATTGCGTTACCAAGGGCAGGGCAGAAGCCATGAAATGAAGAGAGAACTTGTTAATGTACTAGTCGTGAGGCTGCTCTCCTTCTGATTCACCAACAGTTTCACTGTCGTCCTCGTCTTCCTCCTCGCTGCAGGATTCCTCGTTTGTTGATTCTCTCGTTCGTTCACCGCTGCTGGCTTTAAAAAGATTCAGAAGATCCATAAAACGCGTTTTTACCTGAAAATAAATACAACCATTACGTTGCAAATTAGCAAAATTTTTCTATGTTCCGTCTTCTCTCTGTTTCTCTGTCTACAGATAATTCAACATGACAAGGACTAGACTGAACTGAGCAAGACTAGATGAAAAACTAGAGTGAACTATTGATTAGGAATGACTTCGCACGAATGAATAAACAATATAACGAACCAATGACGAATGGAATCAAAATTAGCAAACAAAAGGGTCGCAGAAGGAAAGAAAAAGAGAAGGACTACCATGTGGTGGCTGAAATTCGAAGTAAACATTTTCGCGTAGGAAACGAAAAGTACAAGCAATCCTGGAGGAAGGCGTAATACAGTTGCAAGAAAAACTGATCTGGAGGGAACTCACTCCCCCATTTCTTCCAGTTGAGTCTAATTTTTCAGAGCAGTTGCCTTCTTTCTAGTTGGAATTAACAAGTGCTAACAAGTAATGAAACTATCCAGTGTAGTCTCACCTCGTCTGCTGTTTTATTTTTTAAGCCGTTGGCTATATGTTCAAACGTTTCTGGCTTAGCGCCCATCTTTTGACAAGCTTGCAATATAACTCGGTCATCTTCCCTGAATAAAAACAAAATGCATAGATCACTATCACTGACACTTACGATGACTGACCAACAAGTGACAAAGAGCTCTAGATTTCCATAGAGGTTTGTGACTGTCGCTCACAGAAAACAACTCAGGACAGATTGGAACAAAACGTCAGACGTGAAATATGAGCAAAACTTGATCCTTTGAAGAGTATTAAATCCTCTTTTCGTCTTCAATGTACAAGGGACATGAAGAGAATCACCACCAAATAATCCTGCCACTCCGTTAACACTACTTCGATTAAACATCACTTTTGATAATCCCTGACTTTTCCCTTAAAATAAAAATAATAAATGTAAAAATACATTTATCCTGGCCAAATAAATACAAAATGTCAGATATGGTAGCTGCTCCTAGCACCTTCCCCCCAAAAAGAAACCGTCCTCTCAACCCATTAATTCTAGACTGATCCATTCTCAACAGTTTTCGACTTTTTCATTAAGGAAAAAAACATCTTTGACCCGAAATGTTTCTTCCAGCCTTCAATGCTATCAAATCAGCGGTGTTATAATTTCAATTTCCCCTTACTTTTCTTCAAAATTTAATTTTTCCCTCACTCAAAAAAAAAAAAAAAAATGTTAAACAAATAAAATTCCCTGAACACGAAGAATTTTTTTTCCCTTGAGCATTCCCTGACCCTGGCACCTTAATAGCATATAAAGCGAGCTTACCTCGTCCACAAAAGGACCACCTGTCCATCTTGACTACGTTGAAGATTTTTAGCTGGCACAACAGCTGAACTGGAAACAACGTTAGCGTCGCTATCACAGCCACTGGCTTCAGCGTCTACGTCACTCTTGATGACGTCACCGTCGATGTCGTCACCATCCATATAATCGTCATCGTCATCTTCTTCGTACCCATCATGCTCCATGTCAGAATTCCCATCATCCTCTTGTTCTTCGCTATCGGAGTGTCGTCGCTCGCGTTCTTCTTCATGTTCCAGGTTTAAAGTGTCCGTATTAGTAGGATTCAACTCTTCTCCCCGATAACTGTCGCTGCTGGTTTCTGATTGCAGTGATGTTGTAACGGAGAGAGGTCCTTCTAACAAGTTGACCTCAGTTCTTTGATCATTAACTCCACTCTCCTCTCCTGTCGTTTCTACGTTTGTCGACCCTTCAGGGGTAGGCTTCATGTCTTTTGTCGCATTATCTCCTTGGCCTTTACCTTGGCTGTTGTCTTGTTTCCCACCAGCCTTAGTCTGATCCTTCCCACAAGTGTTTGTTTTTGCCTGGCTGACTTTTGTTCTGTTTCCCAGGGGTTTGCCTGTAGTTCCTTGTTGTTTACTTCCTTTCACAGCCGCACAAGGTTTTCTAGCCTTTCTTGTATAAGCGTTTTTTTGCAAAGTGTCCTTGGCGGGTCTGCCTTTGATCTTCTTGGGCTCCACAAAACATGGTATGACGACTTCTTCAAAATCATCGACCTTTGAAAAATTAATCAATGATTGCTTTAAAATCTTGACCATTTGGTAACATCGCAGGGACAAAAAATGTTGAATTTTTGTTCTCATATATACTTACAGTGACTGGTTCACAAGACACAACACTATCTTACGAGAATTTTACGCCTTCGGAAACGAAATTCTTAACAGGGGTCAATTAAATAAATTTTACCTCTGGTTCGCTCCCACTTCCGAACTCAATTTCCTCGAAATCATCGTCAGAACTTGAAAAAAGATAAAATAAAGCACACACGAAAAGTAAGTTTATTTACAATGCTAAGAAGAGAATCACACATATCTACAAACATGCTCCACGTCACAAGATCAGTTTGTATATCACAATCGGTTGACCTACCATACAGGAGGCTTCAAGTCGTCAAAGAACGAGTAGAATTCTTCAATCAGGTGCATTTGTCCTTTTAACATCGGAACAATGGTTTGCTGTAACTACAATGGGAACGAAAAAACCTTTAGACCACACTTATCAAGATTGAATTGCGTAGTGTGAAGCAACACATTGCTACTTATTTCATGCCTCTGAGCGGCGGGACTCTGGGCCCGACGCAATGGCAGAAACAAAGCAAAAGGTAAAAGTGAAGACGAACTTCACAAATTGTTAAAATAGAACAAGGCCTTTTTCTTTAAAAGCTAAAAATGGGTTGTAAGTTGCAAAAGCAAACCATTGACTACTAATTCCCACGATTTTTAATCTGGGAATGGAAAACATAAACTTTACATTTGAGGGTGCAACAAGCGCAGGAACCAGGTTGGTTAGTCGAGTACGAGGATTGCAAGCGACGAACTACAGTTACTGGCTGCACATAATTGAAATGGTGGGCCATTAAATGTACCATTACCAAGCTCAGAAAATGCTCTACAAGGCAAAAATGACTGCTCGATATACCTGCAAAGGGTCTTTTACTGTTTTCTTATTCCAAGAATCAAATGCGTTGATTATCTTCCTGAACTGAGAGGGACTCCGCTGGAAGTGCACCTTAACATAAAAAAGACAAAGTAAGCCTTAAGTTGGCACATTAATATCACTTACACACACATTAATAAATTCCCTAATAAACGTCAAGTTATTGAAGACAAGTCAAGTTATTGAACAAGTCAAATTATGTACACATCTTTCCAAAGAAAGAAACACAAGCCATTACGGAGTGGTGTAAGGGGATGAAGATAATATGTTTTAAATAAAATGCCGTGCTGTTACTCAGTTGAGTTAAGGTTGTTATGATAGCACCTAAGTCTAACAAACAGGCGAACTAAAATTACATTTTAGGAAGGAATGAAAGTGACAATATAAGGTTCAGTGAGTAACTCGCCTCCAGTTTCCTCAGGAACGTTCTCGCCCTCACAAACTCCAGGTTTGCCATAAACTGAAACCAGAATCAAAGAGGACTATCACACAAGAGTATTCAGTAAGACAGAATATTACTGCGCCTTTCACTAACACGCAAACTCTGAAGTTCAAAACCTAACTACCGATTAGTGTTTTTGGCCGCCAATAGAGTGCACATTTTAAAACTTGATGCTACTGATTACACCTTTTGCTGTTCATTTACAGAAAATAAACATTCATTTGTGTCCAAATTTCTTTCACTATGGTCAATAAACTCTCATTAACATCAATATGACCTTCATTTGCGCGTAAGGAACGTTCAAGAAAAACATTTACATATGCATTAACATTCAAAATCATCAAAAGAAAAACAATACGTTCATTTG